CATTGTCAATTTCAATATGGCTTTCTGAAAGTTGAGACCAATAATTATAGTGAGAAGTAGGCTATATGAATTGCCCCAGTGTTGTTCAATAGACCTTTTTCTGACAAAGGAAGTACTCTACAATTATGCTGTCCAACATGGTAGCCACAGAGCCACGTGACTAGTAAGCACTGGAAATGTGGCTAAAGCAACTACAGAACTGATCTTTAAATTTTAATTAAATAGTCACACGTACTAGGGGACAGCTCCGATTCCGACTACTAAAGAATTTTGCTAATCCAAAAATGCATAGCATGAAGCATTATTTCAAACTAGTAAAAGACATTACCCACTTTGAAAACTCAATTTTTGACTATTGTTTTGGCCAACTATTCTGTGTGGCAAAAAGCCAAGTAAATCTTTTGCTCTCGGTTACATTGCTTCTGTTAATGTACCTGCCATCTTTTACTAGTCTGGCTAATGCTGTTTTACAGTCTTTGAATGAAGGAGGGCATTTCCCCCACTGCAAAAAGTATCCTAATTAAGATAGATAAGTCATGCTGCTTTTATTTATGCCACAATTTTCCCTGCAGCTAGAATTAAATGATGCTGTCAAAGGGCAATGCTAGTGTTTGATGACTTTTAATATTTTTGTCCATATCAAAAGACTAAATAAATGCAATCAATATTTCCAATTCCTAACTCTCTAGTAATTATTCCAATAAAGATATTCATACTCCCAAACATCAATACATGCTCTTCATAGTCCCAATAAATCTGTTCCCAGAAAATAAACCATGTTCAGCTAAGCCTTTAGAGAGAATATTAAGAAACACCAAGCTCAGAATGTGATTAACCAAACCCTTCAGCACAAGGGGCTCACAAAATATGGATTTTAAAACCCAAATACTTAATGAGAAATATCAAGAAATAAGAATCATATTCTCAAAGGAACTACATATAAATTTGAGGTGACTCCTTAGACAAATAACTCAAATAGGGATTTTAAATAGTATCGCCTCATCACAAGAACTCATTCTGTAAATGTTTACTTCATAAAATAGTAATAATAGTATTAATAATGCTGTTGTTGTTAGGTGCCCTGGAGTTGGTTCTCATAGCTACTCTACATACAATGGAAGGAATCACTGCCGGGTCCTGTGTTATCTTCACAATCATTGCTGTTTGAGCCCACTGTTGCAGCCACTGTGTCAATCCATCTTGCCGAAGGTCCTCATCCACTTTACCAAACATGATGTCTTTTTCCAGGGACTGATACCTTCTGATAACATGACAAAAGTATGTGAGACCAATTCTCTCCACCCTCGTTTCTAAGGAGCATTTTGGCTACATTTTTTTCCAAGACAAATTTGTTTGTCCTTTTGGTAATCTATGGTATATTCAATATTCTTCTCCAGAAGTATTGGGTACTGTTTGTGTGCTGACTCTATTTTAAGATATACATAGCTGCTCCCAGGAACCCCATGAGGTAGATACTATTTTTACTCCCATTTGTCTGAAAATTGTATTTGGTAATACAAGACCAAATATCTGGGGCATGAAGGGTATGACAGTTATCAAAACCAGGTATGCCTGACTCTAAAACTCATACATCTTATTCATTACATTTTAAAAATCTACATTTAAAGACTTACTGTCTATTAAGACAAATTAAGTTCCTTGTCATTAACAGGGAATTGCCAATCTTGTTGTTACTGAGTCTGAGTAATTTCAGCATTCTACAAACTTATCTTGGTAAGTTTCAAACAATTAGCTTGGTCTGCTGGATATATAAGCTAATTTTGACTATTAAAATACTACTCAGTTTTACTTGTTAAAGTCTTCCCTTAAAATTATAGAAGAAAATGTAGAGATTCTATGTAGATAGACTTTAAACTAATTGCTTTGAACATCTTAGTCATTTTAGAAAACATTTGTGTTACACACATGCATACAATGCAAATTTAAGTCCAGAAATTCACATTCTATTTTCAAATCAACTGCAGAAATGTTACCAACCCCAGGAACCACCTTGGCATCAAATTACTGTTCCACATTGTTTTCAGTGTTTAATGGGGGGGAGGGCACTTTGAGTTAGGAGATCTAAGACACATTTATGAAATGATGTAGTATAAACTTTGCCTTAATGAATTCTTTATAATCCAGATAAATGAGGGTGGGGGGAAAAAAAAAAGACACATCAGGACCAAATTCCAGGCTCAAAAGAACTTGACGACCCTTGGTAGGAGAATGAATAGGTCATCAGAGGAGAAATGGAAAGAAAACATGGACCTAGGGCATCCAGATTCTGGATTGTCTTCAAATTGTTTCATACTTGACTGAAGTTGTTTTCAAAAGTACATTTGATGAGATGATATAGTGCATTTTAAGGAGAAACTCCATGGAGAGAAATTGGATGTAGGGTGACTTGTCCCAATGGGTAGGTGCTGGTTAAGTGACCAGAAGCTAAAGAAAAGGCTGGAGGTTAGAACCCATCCAGAGGTGTCTCTGAAGGCTAGCCTGGCAACCTCCTTCCAACAGATCAGATATCAAAATCCAATGGAGCACAGTTCTATGGTTCTATTCTGCAACACATGGAGTCACCATTAGTTGGAATCAACTTGAAGTCTACCTTTTTGGTTTTGTTTTTTATGACTCACTTTATAGGAATTATTTCAAAATGAGGAAATGAGTCAAATGAGCATGACAATAGAGAAATCCTGAAATCAACTGTGGGTGTATTACAGGGTATTTTCCTCAAACTAGCACCTGGAACCATAGCAGCATCTATGTATGGAAAGAAAAACTTGTTTGGGGGATAGGAAAAAATGGGGTAAGGAATTCAAAAGCTGTCATTTAAACCTGATGCTCAGAAATACTAAAATTAATGCATGTGATGTAGGGCAAAAAAATAGTGCCACTACAGTTGGCTAACACTGCTTTAATCAACTACAGAATTTAAACAAATGCTGTTTGAAACATTATATTAAGAAGCACAATGATTTTAAACTTATCTGTTCATCGGATTTATTCTTAAGATGTTGTTGTTGTTATGTGCCATTGAGTCGGACCCAACTCATAGCGACCCCTCCTTGGGTTTCTAAGGCAGTATCACTATGGAAGTAGATTGCCCCATCTTCTTTCTGAGGAGTAGCTGATGGGTTTGAACCAGGAGCCTTCTGATTAGCAGTCAAGTGCCTTAGGCACTATGCTACTCCCATTCTTAAGATAGGAGACAGAAAACTATTTTTTTGCTATTTTGTTTTTACATGAGATTAAAATGTTGAACAATTAGGGAACATGAATTGTGATTGTGGGGAGAAGGCAACTAAAACCAGTTGTTGTCAAGTGGATTCTAACTCATGGTGTCCCCATGTGTTTCAAAATATAACCGCACTCCATAGGGTTTTCAAGACTGATCTTTTGCAAGCAGAGTGCTAGGCGTTCCTTCAGAAGTGTCTCTGGGTGAGTTCAAACAGCCACTTTTTGGTTATTAGTCTAGTGATTAACTGTTTTACAAGGCACAGGAACTCCTTACACTCCTTTTTAAAAACTACTTTCAAAAAGGCACCTTATTTAAAAAAATTAGTGAGACTAAAGGGAATGTTGTTGTTGGGTGCCAATGAGTAGGCCTAAACTCAAAGGGACCCCAGCCCTAAGAGAATAAAACACTGCCCTGGTCCTGTGCCACCCTCACAATCATTACAAGTTACTCTAAACTTCCGAACCTTAGTCAAGAAACAATCTTTGAAGAGTGTTTAAGAACACAATCTGCTTTATTTTTCATTTATAAAACTCCAAAGTTTACGGTTGAACTCTTACCTGTTTCCCTTAAGTCTTAAAGGGCAACGAATACAATGTCAGGAACGCACAATCTATGTCTTTGAGATGTTATCTAGCAAACAAGTAATATTTCTGTTCAGAAGCACCTCTTCTTAAAGACATATTTATGTCTTATTAAGGATGGTAGCATGAAACTCAGTAAAATGGCTTCTACCCATTAGTTTATTAGTGGCCTACATGTCAAAATATTATTGCTCAATACTACACCATCCATAAGAAAATGAAAAAAAAAATCAGATGAAAAATTATGTAATAAAGTTTAAAAGAAACGAGGTATAATGATCCCTCAAAGAAAGTAATATACAGAAATTATGATCTTGTTAGGTGTTGTGGAGTCCTGAAGCCTGACTCAGCAACCCCACCCACAACAGAAAAAATTCTCTCTGGTCCTACACCATTCTCACAATTCTTGCCATATTTGAGCTCATTTTTGAATGGATGGGCTACATTTTGAGTTTTCAAAGTTTTGGAGACTGAACTGATCAAACTGAGTAAACATAACCCTAGTTCTAGTTCCAAACACTCTACAAAGTAGAGTCCATACTGTTCAGTGATCTGAGATTGCCTATATATTTTTAGTTACTTGTTCCCACTGAGGGCCTCATGACTGGTCCTCAGCTCAAACGTGTTGAATGTTTTATTGAATGTAGAGATGCGTAACCCTTCAGGTTTTAAATGAGATCATAACACCTTTTCAGCTTGCCCCACAGTTTTGTCCCGTAACTATTTTTAAAAATTATTTGCTTTGAGATTGTCTTGCAAAGAGCAAGGTAACCACTGGTGGTTACACCAAGCGCGGGGCAAGGCCGACTGGTTCCTGCGGTGCCCAGGCCTGCAAGGCAGCATCCTGGCAGAACCCAGCTTTGAAGACAGACGCCTTCCCTAGCACGGCCAGAGGGCTGAGCGTCAACGCGCTCCCAGGGGCATTGTGTGTGCGCCAGGCCCTGAGATCGCAGGCCCAGAGGGGCAGCTCCACTGCAAGAGACAAGACACGCCTCAGACCGGGAAAATTCCCGGCCTACTCTGGCCCTTGGCCAGCAGCCGACGCCCGCCACCTCCTCTCCTCCAGAGCCCTAGCCGGGGCCACCCGCCGGGCCCCCGAACTCGCCCTCAGCTTGGCGCGCGGCCCCTCAGCCCACGGCGCTGGCGGCGCTGGCAGCGCAGTTGGGACAGCACTGATGTGGCGCATGCGTGGTGGCGCCACTAGGCGCGGAAGCTGCGGCGGCGGAGTCGGCAACGGCGACAACCGCGGCCAAGGTCATCAGGGCCGGGCTCGCGGAGGCGGCGGTAGTAGCGGCGTGGGATGGCGAGGCCGTGCAGGCGGCGCCCGACAGCAGCTGGAGGAGCGGTTCGCGGATCTGGCGGCGAGCCACTTGGAGGCCATCCGCGCTCGGGACGAGCGGGACCGGCAGAATGCGCGGTTGCGCGAAGACAACGCCCGGCTGCGGCTCGAGAACCGGCGGCTGAAGCGCGAAAACCGCAACCTCTTCCGTCAGGCCTTGCAGCTCCCCGTACAGGGCGGCGATGGGGCGCCGGCCGAGGAGACAGAAGCAGCACTGGGCCCCGAGGCAGCCGGCGCGAACCGGAAGACGAGAGGCGGTGACTGTGAGGATGAGCAAGACAACCCCAGGGCCCTAAGGGCCCGGCTGGAGAAGCTAGAGGCCATGTACCGCCGGGCCCTGCTTCAGCTGCACCTCGAACAACAGGCACCGCGCTCCCGTGGGGAAAATGAAGAGCGGCCACTTCGGGAACCAGATTCTGGTCTCCGAACTCCGGACCTGGAGTCGTCCAAACCCGGGTTGTAGCTCGAGGCCCAGCCAGGAAGGGGCGTGGTCTCGCTTGGGCCCCTCCTCCTCCGTGCACTGGCTCTGCCCTTCCCCCCATCCCGTAGCACACGTTTGGGACTACCCCGACCGCGGAACCTTTGGACCGTCTTCTCTTTGATCTCCGGTCCCTACCCCGGACACTTCCGGGAGGCGCCACGCCTTGTTCCCGGCACTGGTTGAGGAAGGTGCCCGGGCCCCTGGAATGCTCAGAGATGCAGAACAGTTGCCCTCTGTACTGCAGGTTACCAGGGAGAGAGGCCTAGCAGCTGAGGAGCAGGTTTTAAACAGCACAAACTGGGTGCCAGTCAATCAGTACCTCCTAATGCCTGAACTTTTGCGGGTTTTATGAGGACCTATTGTAATTTTCCTCTGTTTTGATCCTTTAAAGGATAATTAGAGTTGTTTCAGTTTGTTGTTCATCAGGCCCCTAAAGCCTTCAACCATTATCTCTTAAGTGGCCAACATGTTAAGTGTTTTTATAAATCGGTATTACTTGGGTTTCTGTAAAACACCATCTTTTATAAAGAAGGTAATATTTGTAACTTGAGAATTCATGTCTGCTACTTGCTCCAGAGCTTATACATCTAATATATACTGATTTGTTTACCTTCGAAGAATTTTTGAAGTATCTGCCTATAGATGATGCTTGGAGTTGGAAAATAAGTAAGGTGCATTAAAAATAATGTAAAAGCTTCTCACGACTATTATTTGAATCGTGTTAAATTTTATATACTCTTCTTTAAGAGATACACATGTATGTATTTATCATGTATTTTAATAATTGGGTTTGGTTATCCTTTGTAAACTCATTTTCTTTTAGCTTTATGTAACAAAGATCTTTTAAAATCTAAAGATAAAACTAAAAGTTAAACATTATATCATTTTTATTACATATTAGATTTGACAGTTTAATCAATGTTGCTCAGCTAATTTGCCTTATTTCAACTGTTTAAGAACTTTTGTTGTTGTTGTTGTTATGTGCCTTCCAGTCGGCCCCGACTCATAGCGCCCCAACTCATAGTGACCCCTCCTTGGGTTTCCGAGGCAGTATCACTACGGAAGTAGGATTGCCCAACCTTCCTTCCGAGGAGTGGCTGGTGGGTTTGA